GGATTTGACTTTGTATTGTTCTGACCTTTGTTTCATCAAACTTTGCCGTTGTCTTTTTCAAGGTGCAGTTGAAAAACTTCCTGATTGTTTCACATCACAATTTTCAGGACGTTTAGCCGATTAAATTTAGCTATGCCTCCTTCTAAGAACTGTAAGTGCCGTTTGTTTAGGAGCCAAGTTTTAAAACTGGTATAACTCCGAGAATAAGCAAGTACGTGACGATGCTCAAAAACTGAAAAAAGAAGAAAAAAAATTCAAAACAAACACTGCTCTTGTGTCATGTAATGCTGGACACAAACCATTTATACATTTTTTTGCCAGTCACTTTCAGTAATATATACCAACCCCGTTAATACTGCTGGAGGAGTAAGGTGGTGTATAATAAATATTATGGAACTTCTACCAACTACGTACTTTCAGGTTAGATAGAGCTCAGCAGAAAATAACATGGAGTTGCAAATCATCCTATAGAGGTGTACGAGTATATAACGGTAAAAATCTGTACAAGTGAAGGGAAGTAAGACTAGCAGCATGAAGAGACGAGGAAAAGTAACAGGTCAGAGTCTGTCTGATTTGTTACCAACTAAATATGTAACCTAATCCTACTAATTTACAAAAACGGCGTGTAAAACGAAAAAAAGTGAAATATATATGGAAAGATCAATAGAGTTAAACGCAATGCAGAAAACAGCCTTAAAGTCTCGTTCATAACTGAGGCAAGTTGCGGAATGGAGTTTGTACTGCTTTGTCGCGACGGCACGCGAAATGGCCACAAGGCAGCAGACTGTAATGATCCAGACATGACCCTAAGGGGAAGCTCTTGGAGGCAGTGGTGGAAAGGTCAATACATCAATAATGGCATATAAGGAGCAAGGTAACGACGAGATCAATGTCTGTTCATAATAGAGTGATTTTGATCTAGACCTCATTTTCTCCTATTGTCAAAGCTTTACGATCCTCCTTTTGTATTTTAGAGTTTGGTTTCATTTAGTTTATTATTATATGGGTTTTGCTTTGTTTGTTTGTATTACACGATAATTCTTTGTAATAAGATAGCACCAAAGACCTGTTGTCAGTGTTGCCTTTCTATTTCCATGAACAATATATTATATAATTTTAGGGAAGATTTGTGAGCTTGTGCTCCGTGATCTTTCCTTATATTTTTTAATTTCTTTATACATTGTTAGGATAGATTGTGGGCCTGTGTCCCGTAACCTTTCTATATACATTGTATTCCTATAGTTTTCACCGAATAAAGAATTATCAAATAGAATCAAACGACCAGCACTATTAAACGTTACCGTTCAGTAAATACAGTCCTCAAAAAATATAAAGCTGCAAGCGTCGGTGACTACGATTGCTGGCGGTTAAAAGTTCAGTAGAAGTTCGGTTTCCCATAGGGACACGGTAGAGGAGTTGTGATCAACTCCCCAATTAACTAGGCCGTCGGCAGTCGCGACATGCTTCTTTTTACTTGTTGCAATACTGCAGGAAGTTAATGGCTTTGAAAACAGTAGAGGTGTTCAAGGCGGCCACTAGGATATCTCGCAAAAGCACTAGAAAACCTTTTCAAAATTCGAATTTCTGCGAGAACAACGATTTACCAAATCCATAAACGACTTAATATTTCACGAGTTGGAACAAAGGACAAAAACAGATTAATTCAACTGTTCTAATTATTTATGTTAAAGACGTAATCTGCTTTTGCTTTAAAACTTTATGCTAAAAGGTACCTGTTTAAAATCTTTTTTCCGCAGAAGAAGCATTCGCAAGTATACCCTACTGAAAATGTGACAGCCTGTGCCTTCCGAAGACGATCTTTACAGCGTGCCAACGCAGCATCAGTAACGGCCTTATGCAAGCGTATCTCAAAATTATTAATTTTGAGAAAAACTTCAAAAAATACTAAGAATCAACTGACTGATGACACAAGCCGATAAAAAAACAAAAATCTGGAACTGACCTTAAGCTTCAAATCTGTATTGAAAATGGGTAGATAAGAATTAGAGATGAATTGTTTAATGGTAATCTAAAATTGTAACTTAACAAAAACGAAAAACTTACCGATGTTTTTTTGGCATGCGCAGCTTGTAAAATTGCTTCAAGAGCATTCCAAACATTTCTCAAAGGAAAATTTGGAGGCAACAGTGACAACGCTTCAACTATAATAGAGTAAGTTAGCACACTTCACAAAGCATGAACTTCAAAATCGTCGAAATGACTGAGAAATATGACTTGAAGTTTTGAGGAAGCTTTATTAAGCTAGCAGTTACCACACAATTTCATAAAAAAAGAATACGGTACTTGCCGGTGTCGATAGAATTGGCGTGATCCTTTAAAATTCTAATTGCCTCAACCTGATTAGGCTCTGAATAATAAAAATCTTTTTGCATTAGCCCGAGTACGGATCTGTCTGGTGGGTAAGTGTACATGCGAAGAAGAATAAGCCATACCTTAACCAAAAAAAAACTAAGATAACGGTTGACTACAATAAAGCGCAGAGTATTACTATGTTTGATCAGCTGTTTATGCTATAAATTTCAAAAAAACGTTAAGTTGCCGACAAGTGACTGATTAAGCATAAATAATAAAATGAATTATGGCCAGACTTGATCTCTAGAGAACTAGAGGTAATCATCTTTGGAAAACTAAAGGTAATCATTAATTCTTCTGGAAATAACGATAAAGAGCAACTTGGAGGAGTCGACTCCTTTTTCACAACAGCAAAAGTTTAAGGAAGTTCTAGTATGAAAAATTTCCAGTCGTGATTTGTTCCCAATACAGGTTGCACAATTCAAAATTTTGAAATTTTCTAAAGAAACAGTAATGTCTGCTAAGAAATATAAGGCTCCTAAACTGCTAAAGAAAAGTGGACCTGATGACTACGCTACGAAGAACAACAAGAACT